GGGAACCTGTATATACATCAAAAGGCTATTGTTCAAACAGAACAATGGGAGACTTCATGGTTTAAAATCAGGAATGGTGTGTGCAGGATCCTTTCACAATACGTATTCAATCTGTGTGCTGAGCAAATAATTCAAGAAGCTGGATTATATGAAGAGAACACAGCATCAGGAAGGATGACTCATTGACAAACTGTGATATACAAATGACACAAGCTTAATTGCTGAAAGTGAAGATGACTTGAGGCACTTTCTGATGAAGATCAAAGACTATACACACATAAAACAAAAACCCTCACAACTAGACCAACAAGCAACATCACAACAAATGCAGAGAAGATTGAGGTTATCAAGGCTTTCATTTTACTTGGATCTACAGTCAACACTCATAGACGCAGCAGTCAAGAAATTAAACATCTTAGTGCACTGGGCAAAGATGTCACTTTCAAGACTAAGGTGCACCTGACCCAAGCCATGTTATTTTCAATCACCTCATATGCATATGAAAGCTGGACAATGAATAAAGAAGGCTGAAAAAGAGTTGATGACTTTGAATTGTGGTGTTGGCCAAGAATACTGAAAATATCATGGACTGCTGGAAGATTGAACAAATCTGTCTTGGAAGAAGTGCAGCCAGAATGCTCCTTGTAAACAAGATGGGCCAGACTTCATTTCACCTGGCTTGGTCATGTTGTCAGACAGTATCATACTTGGTAAAGTGGAGGGTCAGTAAAGAAGGGGAAGACCCTCAAGGAGACAGATTGACACAGTGGCTGCAATGATGGGCTCAAGCACAGTAAGGATTGTAAGGATGCTGCAGGAAGAGTTGGTGTTTCGTTCTGTTGTATAGAGGGTGGCTATGAGTTGGAGCTGACTCGATGGTACCTAACAACACAACAATGGACTGGGGCACACCAACAGTCGTGAAGATGTCACAGGACAAAGCAGTGCTTCATTCCGTTATATGTGAGGTACACGAGCCCGAGGCAGAAAATGTATGGGATGGTGGCATGATGGTTAAGCACTCAGCTACTACCCGAAACATCAGTGGTTTGAACCCACCAACTGCTCCGTGATCTGCTCTCATAAAGGTTACATGTTTGGAAACCCTATGAAGCTGTTCCACTCTGTCCTATAGGTCCCTGTGAGTTGGGATTGACTAGATGGCATACAACCACAACAACATACCAATATTGACTCTTCTTGCTGAGGACAGACATCTCTGTTCACCGTGTGGTTGTGGTGTACAAGGGGAATATTGTGCCTTTCTGGTCCCCAGCCACCAATGGGCCTGTGCAATCCCAGATACTGTGCAATCCTCAGCAAGCGCTCGATTATCAGGTCACTGCCCAGATCGGAATGCCACTTGTAAATTTACCAATTTACAACTTTAAACACTGACTGCTCAGAATGAACCAGTCCCTGGAGAAGGCTATCATGCTTGGTAAGTAGAGGTTCAGAGAAAAAGGGAAGGACCCTCAACAAGGAGTGACCCAGTGGCTACAATGATGGGCTCGAGGCATAGTAAGAATTGTGAGGACGGTGCAGGACAGGGCAGTGTTCCGTTCGGTCTGCACATAAGGTCACTATGAGTCAGAATCAACTTGATGGGACCTAACAACAACAACAATGAAGAACTGTACCCCAATAAATTTGAAAACCTAGAAGAGACGGCCAGATCTCTAGAAATACACTCCTCACCTAAACTAACACAGACTGAGGTAGCAAATTTGAACAGACCTATAACAACAGAAAAAATTGAGCAGGTCACTTAAAAACTACCAACAAAAAAAGTCCTGGTCCAGATGGGTTCACTGAAGAAATGTTACCAAATATCCAGAGAGCAGATGCTACCAATCTTACTCAAACTAGTCCGGGACATAGAAAAGGATGGAATCCTCCCAAATTCATTTTATGAAACCAGCATAATCCTGATACCAAAACCAGGCAAAGATACCCCTAGAAAGAAAACTACAGTCCAACATCCCTCATGAATGCGTGAGCTATGCTCCAATAAAACTTCATTTACAGAGATAGGTGGTCTGCCTGGGGGCCATATTTGCCAGTCCCTGCTCTAGAATCTAGACCTCACTTCGAATTTATAGGAAATTCAATGAACCAAGGAACATATTAAACAATACCACAAGGATGCAACCAGCAAAGTCCAGACTGAAGGACACTTTATAGGACAAAGGATCTGGTTTCCTCAACAACAAACTGCAGGAAACAAAAGAGATGGGAAGGAAACTTAAATATTACAAGAGATTTATCACTCTTAGCAGACAATCATAATATTTGCCCATATTTAAACACCAATCCCTATAAACTCTGGAAATCAACTGGAAGGCCATCAAGGCAATAATTGATGGCATTAAGGAAGTATGCTTTCCTTTTTGGTGTGATAATGGCACCTTGTGGTTATGTTGTTAAGATCCCCTATTTCTAGAGATAATATTGAAATACTTAAAATGAAGTGATATCTCCTTGGAGAGAACAATCATGGGAGAAAGAAGGGCTGCTCAGGCACGAGACAGCTCAGGGGGTTGGAGGGCATGGAGGGATGGACACAGGGAAGAGGTAACTATCAGGAGGAAGAGGCAACTATCGGGAGGGGAGATGTTGCATTGTGCTAAATTGTGGTCAATGTCATGAGACAAAGGGTATGTGATCTGCTGGATGGAGAGTGTATTTGCTCTGTAAATTTTCACCCAAATCACAATTTAAAAAAAAAATTAAGTGATATGGTGCCTATGATTTGCATACTCATGTTATACAAATAAGATCATTTGAACTGACGGCTGCGGTTTGGGTAAGGAATGTCTTACCAGGAATTCACCACACTAGTCTTTCTACTTTGCCATAGGTTTGAATTTTTCCATATTTAAAATTTTTTTTAAAAAAATAACCAAACACAAAACATACCTCAGATTCAGTGACGGAGATGAGAAATGTACGTGTAGTGAAGAAAACAGGTTTAGTTTGCTGGAGAGCTCTATCTTTTGGCAATTAAGAGGAATTAGGCTGATGGATTTAAGCTTTGTAGGAACGTCCTTTCATATGAATCCGATCCACCCTAATGTCTCTGAGCACCATCTCACTTCTTTCTGGGGTGGGAAGGGCTTCAGGACATGCCCAGCTCCGGGCAGAGGGGCCGGGGCTGAGCAGCCTTGGCAGGATGGAGCACCCTCAGCCTCTGCTCTGCCTCCTTCCTCCCTAGAAGCAACCTGATTTCTTCAGAGAACCAAGAGCCTCAGACTCCCTGGGAGCCACGGATGGTACAATGATCTAGCTCTGGCCACTGAAATACAAGTGTTTCCATATTTGCCAATTTCAGTGTTCACAGCTAGTTCTAGAACACAACTACCGAGGACAACGAGAATCTACCCTACCCCCTGATCCTCACCAGCTCTGCCTGGTGTGGCTCTCTGATGACCCTAAGTGAACAGACTCCACTCCCTCCCTGGTCCTTCCTCTTCCCTTACCATGCTTTGCTTTTCCTCATAGCTCTTTTATCAAAGCCTGGTCTCAAACCAAACAAAACTCACTGCCATCAAAGTCAATTCTGACTCATAGCAACCCCCATGGGGTTTCCAAGGCTGTCAATCCTTACAGAAGCAGACTGCCTCATCTTTCTTCCATGGAGCAGCTGATGGGTTCGAACCACCAACCTTTTGGTTAGCAGCCAAATGCCTTAAGCACCATAGCACCAGAGTTCCCTGAACCTGGTCTTGCAGGTATTTATTTGTCTCCTTCATTGCCTGTTTTCTTCACTAGAACACAAGGTTCGTGATACCAGGACTCAGCCTTCTTTGATTTCTGTTATGTCCCCAGTGCCTAGATGGGGCCTGGAGCAGGCAGGTGCTCACACATCCACAGAGGTCCTTTCACTTATTTATGAGATATTGATAAGCACCCTCTGTTGCAGGTATTGAAGTTCCAAGAATTTCATTCTACTTGAATCAACAATCAACACCCATAAAATCAGCAGTCAAGAAATCAAACAACAGACTGCATTGGGCAAATCTGTTGCAAAAGACTGTTCTAAAGTGTTAAAAACCAAAGATGTCACTTTCAGGACTAAGGTGTGCCTGACCCAAGCCATGGTCTTCTCAATGGCTTCACATGTATGTGAAAGCTGGACAATGAGTAAGAACATTGCAGAAGAATTGATGCATTTGAAGTGAAGAATATTAAATATACCATGGACTGCCAGATGAAGATCAGTCTTCGAAGAAATACAACCAAAACATTCCTTAGAAGTGCGGATGGCAAGTCTTGAGCTTGCTGACTTTGGACATGTCATCAGGGAAGACCAACAGTCAGAATAGGACATCACGGTTGACAGAAAACCCAAAGCCCCACAGCCATTGAGTTGATTCTGACTTCTAGTGATCCTATAGGGCAGAGGAGAAATGCCCTACAGGATTTCCAAGGCTGTAAATGTTTTCAGAAGTAGAATCCTTCTTCTTTCTCCTGTGGAGCAGATGGTGGTTTTGAACTGCCAATCTTTCGGTTAGCAGCCAAATGCTTTAATCACTATACACCAGAGCCCCTTATGTTTGGTAGCGGATCAGCAAAAATGATGGAAACCCTCAGTGAGATGGAGTGACATGACAGCTACAATACTGGGCTGAAAAACCAGTGATCATGAACGTGGCTCAGAACCGGGCAAAGTTTTGTTCTATTATATACATGATATAAGTATGAGTCTTAGCCAACTCAATGTCAACTAACAACATTTTCCTGCACCAGGCCCTGGGGGATGGACTGGTGAATGAGACACACTTTTCTACTGGGCTGATGATCGCCTTTGGCCATGGGAGGGGTGGGGTGAGGACACATCAGTCAGTGCGTTTTAGTCATCCTGGATTTGAATTGCTCTGATTCCAACCCTGGTGGAGATCACTTGTATTAAAGAGGAATCTCACTGAACTCACTGAACATTGGGAGTCAAATCTATTGATTAACACGTGTCAGACTCCCCATCAGGGGACACCACTCACCTGACTTGAAGTGGGATCTTGGGCACCTTCTTCGAGACCTTGAACCGGCCTTTGTCCCCATAGGTGTCCGTGAAGTACACCCCAGCCACACTTGTCACCTGATTGCCAGGGAACTTGGACAACACCTTATCACGACCATGCTGGCTGGCCCAATACCAGGCTTGGCCTCCGATGAGCAAGCCCCCTCCAAGCTTCACAAACTGGACCAGCTGCTCCGCCATGGTGTCGCTGTAGGCATTGACGCAGTAAACTCCCAAGGGCTTTCTTGGTTCTGCCCCAACAAGGACCTTGACCCCAGAATCCTGAAGGATGCCCACTAGGGGTGCCAGGGATGGGTGCACACCAATGGGAGCCCCAGGGGTGGGGCAGAGCCACCGCACTGCATTGACAAGAAATGCAGCCAACCCAGCATCCATCAGGTAGCCCTCATGGGCCACTATCACCAGGCGGCCCTGGCCGTAGGAGGAGGCAGCGATGAGGACCTGGCCCACGTCATTCACCATCACTGGGAAGGCACTTTCTCCAATCAGAAGCAGTTCACAGGGCACGGGTTCTTTAGGGACATCCCAGCTTGTCACCCCATTCATGAGGGCCTCAAAGGCAGCAGCAGGAGTGACCATGGCTCTATGGCTTCTGCAGAGAGAAGCAGAGACTCAGCCAGGTTGGCACAAACAGAGGAAGGGGTGAAAAAACAAAAACTTGACCACTGCCTGAGAAAGCATGCACGGGGTCCCCACTGCAGGCAAGCAGTATTCCAATGGAGGGCGTAGTGCAGATGGAGAGACAAGACCCTGTGGCCAGGAATCTGCTACTTCAGAGGGGGCATTAGGTAAATCATAGATAATCAGACACACGAACACAGCAGGAGATCATGGCTATGATGAAAATAAAGCAGGGGGGGGAGACAGGTAGCTGCAAGGCTACTGCAGCTTGGGTGACCAGAAAGGCCTCTGTGAGCAAGTGACATCAACCTGAACCAGGGATGCTGAGAGATAGGCCTTCCCGCAAAGGCAGGCACGTGTTCAGACTCCTGAGACAAGAAGGGGTTACAGACAGACAGCGGTCTGGGGATTGTTGGAGACAGACAGACTACCACAGTCAGCGATCGTTAAAGGCAGAAAGTGGTAGGGTGGAGAGAATACCGGCTGGGTTAGGGGCACCTGGAACCAAGGTTGGGGGCAGATTCTGGGGCCTGGGTGATCCCGGGCAGTTAGGTTGATGGATGCGAGGTGACTTCATATTTTATATCTTTGGATGGAAGGTCAGAGACCTGCCATGAACCACACAGTGCTCACAGCGTTTCCAGCTGAGCTGGGGAGGCCCCACTGCAGGTAGGGAGGCTTCCTGAGGTCCCTGGTGGTCTTTAAATTCTTTGTCGACACTGGGCTCTTTAGTCTTTTCATAGCAGCGGTTTGGAAACCACCTGACCTCTATTTCCCGGTCTGTAAAGGCGAGCAGTCCATCCTTGGAGGAGTTTGTGAAGGTCAGGAGCTCACAGGTCAGAGTGACGGGCCAGGGGGCACGTGAGCATTTGTCCCTTCACTGTCCTACTGTCCCCACAATACAAAGACCAGGAAACAGAGGGTATGGTGCCCAGGGCCACCCCCGCCCACTCAAGCACTCTGGGTCTCTGAGTGGAAGTAGCTGGGGGAGTTGATGTGGTCAGCTGCACCCAGCAGCAAGTGCCACCTGGTGTCGTGGGCGCGACTACAGATGTCTGGGGTCCCGAGAGGAACC